AGACAAATAATTTTCTCGTTCGGTAGACGTGGCAACCAGAGTATGGTTGCCATATTTATTAGGAATTTTGCCGTGGAAATTGGTTGACTAAAATTGGAATTCCAGGAAAAGCTGTCCAGAGCTCGAGTATGCGTAGGAAGTGCGCTATACCGAATGGGCAAAGAAAAATATCATTTTAGACTTTGAGGGAATCGAACTGTTCATAAGTGGTTAGATTTTGTGTAGTGAAATTGCGTGTGCTCTTGTGCGTAGGTCGCATACGAGGGCGAATGTCCTATATAAGCGATTTGCGGTTTTTGCGGTAAAAAAGGCGCCGAAATTTCTGTATTCAAGACTTATTGAAAACTTACAAGCTGCACTTATTCGATATTTTACAGTTTTTTTCCAAATAAAGCTCTCAAAAACACAAGCAAGGGTTAAATTGTGAATTCGCCAATAGGCCTTTTGCATGAAACGGTCACATGGTACAAAATCCGCCATACTGGATGGCAAAATACCCACTGGGATTTTCAAAACAAAGAAAAGTCAAGCTTGATGGGCTGCGTTCCTTTTGTTTTTGAGGTTGTTTACATTCTTTTGCCATCAGTATGGCGGATTTTGTACCATGTGACCGTTTCATGCAAAAGGCCTATTTTGATCCCTTTGACGTAAGTTTAGGGACTTTCCCGCTACGAAAGGTGCTAAAAAAATTGCATCATGTCACTCGAACCAGGCCTAAACCGTGTAAATTTTACCCTCAATGCCGTGCGCGCTTTGTTAGTAGAAGTTTGATTCACTCTTGATGTTTTTGGGTCAATTTGAAGTTGTAAATGTTTGGGAATTTTGGAGCTAAAATGTGACATATTGCTAAAGTCTTTGAGGTTTTGCTTTGACTCCTGCCTTGATAAAGGTTTGACTGACTTATAAGTCATGGCAGAWCGAGGAGAGTGCGAGGAAGATGCGAGTGAAGACGACATATGTCCAAGTAAGTGTTGTTTTGTCAAACCTGGACTGGGTTATCTCAAGAAATCTTGCTAAACATCGAATAATTGACCACTTGATCCTTAAATGGTTYACTCCTGTAGCTCAACGTGATGTTGAAGAGCTCAAGAAAAAGCTCAAGTCACCGGATAGAGCGAAATTCGAGCGAGAATTGGAAAAGATCAACGCTGAAATTCGTGAACACGAAGCCAAATATGTATCCAAATATAAGGTTAATTGTGCACCATAAGAAACGAGTGTATTTATAATATGAGATCCGTTTTATAATGACACTAGTGCATAATATGTTATAATACTTGATATAAGCTTACATAAGCTTTTAAAGTGTCTTTGAAATAACCTTGCTTTTTATAGAATACACAATCTAATGTTGTGTTTGGCGAATGTCTAGCGTCAAATTTAATTACATCCAGTTTCCTTAATGAAATTTTAGCGCTCTTTTCAAAGTGCACGGACTCAAGGAGTGTCATCCAGCCATGTGGGGAAAGACAGAGAAACTTTAATGACAGAACTTCGTGGTTTTAAAGTAGAAAGGGAAGATGAGATTGACACTCGAAAGAAAATTGATCAAGAATTGAAGTCGTTAAATTCTCTTGTCCAACAAAAGGTTAAGGGAATGATGTTTACAAACTATAATGTAGATTTGCCTGAGGGATTCATATTTAGTTATTTAAGTATGTTTTTCTATAATACTAGCAAAAACATTTGATGAAAAACTCGCTCAAATGCAACTCCTTGGCAAATCTCACATGCATGTTCTACAAATGCAATTGAACTGTGAACATATGAAATTTGTCATGTAGGGGTTGAGAATTTTCCTTGTAAAATTTTCCAGGCTGATAAGAAAAATTCATGGTCAGTGCAAGTTTAGATTCTGTGCACATTATTGTTTCCATGTTTTGGTGAAGATAAAAAATCATTCTTCATTGATTTTTCTTGTTTGCTCATCCAAATACGGTGGTGCTTCCCTTTCTCATGGGATTTTCAGCAATATTGTTACACTATGATATCCCATAGCTGCCATGTTGGATAGAGACAACGACAGCATTCCTTCTTATATTCTTTCATTTCATCCAACATGGTGGCAATTGCTTGGTTAGTTCTTGTCAGGAATTCTTGGTCATATACAGTATCATTATGTTCTTTATCTATTTAGCATGTCTCTGGTACTTCTTAAGTACTTTGTTGTTACCAGATATAAACATGAAATGATGTCCAAGGATAATCAGAAAATAGGTTTTACAAATGCATGTTATGTATAGCTGCAATGGAGGAAGAGTAGCAGTTTAAAAATGATCATTTTGTCATTTTGTCATTTTTACTTTGATTATTATTAAATATGGTTTTTATTTTGAATTTGTAAGAATGACTCCTGTGCCAAAGTTCAAGCTGGACTTAAATATAAAACAGAGGCAAAAGCAGATGAGGCTATCAGGTAATGCAGGTTTACAAAAAATACAATGTAATACAGACAACAACAACATAATGCATACACAAATTGAAATGATGAAATAAAAACAACAAAAAGAGCAAGATTAGGTGAGGCTTTCAGGTTATGCAGGTCCACAAAACAAACAAACAAACAAACATTCCCTCCCTCCCCCAGAAAAAAAAACTAAACAAAAAAACAACAACAAAAAACAAGCGCGAAGTGAAAAGGATAGCAACAAGAGAAACACAGAAACAAACAAGTGAAGTGATATGGATAGTAAAATAATACACAAAATCAAATTAAAACAAAAAAGAAACAACAAAAAGCAGAACAACATCAAGCAAAACTAAAAACAAAGCAATGCTCATATGCAACACAAAACCAACAGAAATATGCTAGAAAACTGGCATATTCTTATGATACCTGTATACGGATGGGCATATTGGAGTTCTCATAGGCTTAATTCCTTCATTACATGTACTTCCTGAATTGTATGGATTACGTAGTGATTACCTGTCTTGAGAAGAGAGTAACCACAAAAACAAAAACTTGACTATTTGCAGGAGGTTAGAGCATCAGCTGAGAGTTCAACAGTTAAAGCTACGAGAGGAAAAACGATTAGTATCTGAAATAGACGCACTCAAAAGATCCAAGAAACTAATCCAGTATGTCACAAAACTCGTAATTTTTTTCAATGATAATTTACAACAAAGTTGTAAAATTTTACATCAGGTTTTAGTCCATTTAATATTGATGTATGTTGTCATTTYTATGGTCATATTTTACATGCAAAAAAAGCATTCTTGTTTTAAACACCTAGAAGTTTTTATCTGTGGCATATCTTGTTGTTTTGTCTTCCCTAAGGACCTCAATCTGTTTTTGTTTTATAAACAGCGACTTTGATGCACTGAAGCAGGAAATTGGACAGCTTAGAGACAAACAAAATGCTCTTCGGAAGCAGAGAGATGTGAGTTGAACTAAAACATAATAATTATTATTAATTATTATTATTAATTATAAATATTATTTTTTGATGAACAAAAAGGACAATTATCCATTCTACATAAAAACTCAATAGCACTCTCCTATCAAAAATAAAAAATGGAGACATTATGCTGATTTTATTATTCAAAACTGTTAGAATTGTATGAGGACGATAGCAAGGTTAAAATCCAGAGAAGAAGAAATCAAGTCATCCCTTGATGAACAAAGATCTAAAGATATTGAAGCTAAACAGCAACAAAGGGGATTTAACACAGAAAGGAATGCACTTAAAAAAGGCAAGGACATACATCAGAAGTATTTATCTATATAGTAGTTATTTTTACATAATATATAATTTAAATATGAGCAGGAGACCTTTATGGGCATTTAAAAGTGCGAGCTGCAAGCGAGCTGTTTTATAGCCCATAAAGGTCGGACGCGAATATTTTATATTGCTTATCAAATTCCAACATAAGGTAAAGCATATTTGGAAA